CTTTTTCACTGTTCCCCTCATAAACCTGCCCCGAAAGCTCCCTAAACCTGCTCAGAGGAATGGCAAAGTGCCTGAATGCATTAGTCCCCAGTGTGAAAAACAATGAGAAATGTTTTCATAACAGGAAAAAGATGAGGCACACTTATTATAAAATCTGTGGAGCTCTGAGGTCAAAAACCATTCCCATGAAAGCCCAGTTTTATGTTCCTCTGGGGGATTACAAATAGACCTTGCGAACAGATGTTTCCAAAAGTGATGGTGACAGATCCCTTAAAAAGAGGTGGATAAATCTGATAAAAAGGAGAGCGCAACCGATTCCCAAATGACCAACAAAAGGTGGTTTATTGTGTCAGGAACTGAATAAAATGATAGTCATAGATTCACACAACTACAACAAACACACAACTTCAGACTCTGACACATGGGGGACTAATGCAAAGCTCTAATACAGCAGAATGCTGTGTGTTTGTACCTACAGAATGTAAGCGTGCTTTGATGTGTGTGTGTGTGTGTGTGTGTGTGTGTGTGTGTGTGTGTGTGTGTGTGTGTGTGTGTGTGTGTGTGTGTGTGTGTGTGTGTGTGTGTGTGTGAGGTTTAGGTTGAGTGCTGTAAATTGACGAACACTCAAAGACACCCCCACCCACCACCCGACAGTTTCTCTCTGGGCTCTCCTGACTAATTATAAATACTGTGCCTTGTAGAATGGATTACTGCAAAGGGCACACACAGTCAACGAAGCCCTTTATTCACTTGTGTCACTCATGTTCAGTGTGTCTGCACCGAGCCAGGAAAATGTTGCTGGTGACATTAAGGTAAATTGCTGCTGGTGTTTGGACATAGATTAGAGTGTAAGAGCAAGCACCTTTAACTGCCTGAAATACTGTGCCAATTTGTGTGCGTGTGTGCGTGTGTGTGTGTGTGTGTGTGTGTGTGTGTGTGTGCGTGCGTGCGTGTGTGTGCGTGCGTGCGGGTGGGTGGGTGTCAGAGTGAGTGCATATGCTAGTGATGAAGAGTAAATGAGAAACAATAGGAGAAGGTACGTATGTGTGACTATTTAACGGATATAGATATTGGAACTGTGTGTTTGTGTGTGTGTGTGTGAGAGAGAGACAGAGAGAAAGAGAGATCCTGTCCATTGGCATTCAGAGGTCTACCTATTTCAACCCCCCCTCCATCACTGGACCAATAAATCTCTACGTGGCCTCAGAGTGGGATGTTTTATTGAGTGCTTGATGCAGTGCTGAAGAAAACATCAGAAGTAGATGACAGACACAAAGTAAGTTTGGAGAGATCACAGCGAACGGCAGGAGAGGGTAGAGCAAAAAATGCTGGTCAATATCTGGAGTGATCTGCAGGGTTATTCGATGGCAAGGCTCTACACGAGCACTGCTGCTGTGATTTAATGAGCCAGTGAGAGACTTCATCCAGTCATCTGCCTTCATTCAGCTGTTGTGCTTCTGTCAGACCTCTGCCAAGGTTCAAACACTTGGTTTTAAACAGAATTAAAGGCACTATAAGTAGCACTCCAACACCAAGGACAAACATTTTGGGACACAAGACTAATGGCAGTGAACAGACACCAGGGGTCCTAGAGAGCTTTGGCAGCTTTCCACACTACGCTGTCAGATTTGTAGGTAGTTTGAGGAGCTTTAAATGTCATCACAATAGCTAACATCTGTTGACACACAACAAACCAGTTATATCAGTAAAAGCTGGTGGTCAGGGGCTGATGTGCTCTGTTTTTTATACATTGTTTTTATTTATTCATTTTTATTTTCTATGTATTGTAAAGCACTTTGGTTCAACCAAAAGGGTTGTTAAAGGCCTGTATAAATAAAGAACATTTACATTTACAGTAAACACTGGATACGGAACTGAACTAGCTTGTTTGCTGTTATGGTCCCTGTAATGTTGTGCTTGTTTGCATGTTTCTCCATTTTCCATTAGCTCCATCATCTTGGCCGATCCGCTTCCTGCTTGACACTTATCCACCAATCTTCTGTTTCAAGTTTCTCTTTGGAACCAGCATGAGATGACTCCCAATTGGGTCAGTGGCTCACTGAGATTTTTCTATTTAAACTTTTGGGTTTGCCCTTTAAATAATTTGTTTGAGTCTGGTAACTGGCAGCTAATATCAGTGCTGAAATTCACTCTATGGATGGGATTAAAAATGCCACCGAGCTGCTAATAACAAGAATGAATGCCTATAAGAACATTATTGAAATTAGAGTGGGTAGTAAACGACTACGGTGACCAAGTTTATTCACTTCACTCCACTGTTGACATATTGGAGGCACAGGTGACGCTTCTGACAAATAAGTGAGAACAATCTGTAGGAGCTCCCGACATGTTGGAGGGACAGATTCCTGCACAGATTTCCTTGTTTTAAGACTCAAAGACTGGGATCTGTTATGACTACATATGAGTAAAGCTGCAAACCAAGTCTGTAACAATGATTTTTCACATGCATAGATGTGTTTGCATAAAACCATGTACGTATGTGTGTGCATGTGTATGAATGTTTATATATGTGTCATAACCGAACATGAGGACCTACTTGGTCAAGCCTGGCTGATGTATTTCTATGCAGTGTGCGCACTCAAACCATTCCAGCGTCTTCACTCCAGCTCACAGATGGCTTTAAGATGGACAGACACTGCTGGGCTCTTACAGCCCGACTTGGGGCTTTCCTGCTGCTTATTGATCCCCTGCAGTTTAGCCCCCAACTGTAAGGAGGCCAGCTGTGGTCTCTGGCTACAGGGAGATGGCGTTGCACATGCCTTGGTGCTGTGGTGGCTTTGAACAGCCTTAAAAAGCTCGAACTTTCCCTCTCCTCTCCTTAAAGGGAAGTGAACAACAGCATGCGATGCAGAACAGAGTGACAGATCAGCAGGCAAAAAGACAGCGATCACTGTGTGGTCTACTTTCTACTACAGCATTACTGCCTGATGGCTCAAACCTCACTGTGTGAATGTGCTGTCCATGAACCTGAGGTGACCCAACATGTGACATCCCTTGAACCTGTGTTTGCATAAAAATGAGGTCAATGCTCCCTGAAACAGTCAGCACCCTTCTCTTTACACACACACACGCACACACACACACACACACACACACGTACACCCACATACTTTACTTTTTTGCTCAATCAATTTCAAAAGCCTAAAGAAGTAAAAACTGTTTTTTTTTTCCTGAGATTTTTTTGCCTGTGCCCCTGACCTCAATGAATGGATAAAATCTGTTGAAGGTCTCAAGCCCATGTTGGACGCTGTAGCTCACTTCAGTCTGTTTGTGTGACCTGATTTCACCCCAAGCAGGGATCAAGTGTGGCTCACACGGACACCCAAGGCAAAGAGACAGCTGAACCAAAGTCTTAAAAAAGAAATGTCACACTCAATGTTAAATTTAGACTAAATAATGTCCGAACAACTTCAGTGAATTGGCAGAGCAGATTTCTGAAAAGAATACACATGAATATATGTGAGCAAAAACTCATAGAAGCATTCAAACAGAGGGAGTGTGCTTTCAAGGGCTCATCACTTCAGCAAACTTTCCCTGTACAGACGCACCAGCAAAAAAAGAAAAGGGTTTGTTTTAGATGGTGTCTGTATGAGGAGTTTAACTTTTCACAGGAAAAGGAATGAAAAAGCTACGTCCATTTTCTGGTGTCTGGTCTGAGCAGGATATAGAGGCTGCTCTGTGGAAGAAAAAGGACAAAATAACTTGCACTAAATGAACTAAATGAACTTGCACTAAATGATCAAATTTCCCCTTGCTAAGGACTTTTTACCACTAAAATGAAATGACAGTTTGAGGTGACAATATGTGATTTCATATTAAAACAACTAGAACAAAAATGAGGGAAAAGAATCAATGGATGGATGCCACTACTACACACGTACATAAGATTATGAAGCAAAACAAGCCCATCCATCCATCCATCCATACATCTATCATCCATTCATCTATCATCCATCCAACCGTCATCCATCCAACCATCCATACATACATCTATCATCCATTCATCTATCATCCATCCAACCATCATCCATCCAACTATCCATCAATCATCCATCGATTAATCTATCCATCTAACCATCACCCCTCTATTATCCAGCCATTCATCCATCCATCCATTTATTTATCCATCTATCATCAATCGATCTATCATCCATCATCCATCTGTCCATCCATACATCTGTCCATCCATCTAGCCATCCATCCATCATCCACCCATCTTTCATTCATCCATCAATTATCCATCAGATAGATGGATGGATGATAGATGGATAGATGACTTTTAATTCAATGGATATTGAATTAAAAGTCATCTATCCATCTATCATCCATCCATCTATCATTTATCCATCGTTGATTCATTCATCCACCCATTATACATTCATCCATCATACATCCATCTATCCTTCATCCATCATTCCATTCATCATCCATTTATCCATCCATCATCCATCTAATCACCTATCCATTCTTCCTCATCCATCATCCATTTATTTATCTGGTCATCCCTCTATCATCCATCCATTCATGACAGACTTAAGATTTCTTAGACCTTATTTATACAAAAAGAGTTTCATTAAAAATACAAAAGTCTTTCCTCTGCCTGAAAAATATAAATATGTGTTCATTAGAACAGGGAGGAGATTTGCATTATAAGGGTCTGCAAAAATGATTGAACAAGCTGTAGTATACATGCCATGCCAGTAGTTGGCAGCATGACCTTGTAATCAAACAATTAAAAAATACCAAATGTCTGAACATAAAACTTAAGAGCAGTGAGTATCAACAGATAAGGAGACAATGGAGAATGCATTGAATACACACTTTGTAAAACAAGCTTTAAATTTAGCTTCTTAGTCACCCATTGTGATCATCCTCTATGGCTATTTGACTGGGTACATAATATGCACATGGATTGAGTTAATGACTTCTCCATTATTAGTCAAGTCCAGTACATTTCTTATTTCAGGGATTCTTGAGAGTCGGGACAAAACACTTCCTAAAAAACTTTTTTTGAGAATGCACACTATATTGATTAGAGTTATTTATTACTGTAGAGAAAGGTCTTAGCTATTTAACCCCGTAAAGGAACAGGCTCTAAATAAAAACATTTTTTCTATAAATTAACGTTTCCCTTAGACAGTGGATTTGTGTCAACTCCATCAGACACACAAAAAAGAAAATAATTTTAATAATTCTAGTCCAACAAGAATCTAAAGTTCTGATGTATGTTGTAATAGTGTTTAGTTACTCTGATATGCCATGAAATATAATATATAAACCTAATGTGTGATTTCACACTATTTTGAAAACCAAGATTTCTAAATAGTTGCATTTTCAAACTTTGTTTTTAATTTTTATATTATAAAAACAATTTCTGTAAGTAAATAAGACACAAGAGGATGTAGAGCCAATGCTCCTTTATTACTTAAACAATATAAACTGAAGAAACAAATTTTTTTTTCTCCAAAATTGAAGAAAAACATACATCTGACGGTGTTGACGAACACCTGACGGAGTTGACGAGAAACTGACGGAGTTGATGACATTGCATATATTATTGAACAAATGTGTTTTTAAACCGATTGACAATAGGTCAATAGGTGAAAATAGATTAAGAACTAATAACTCCTTGTTTTCATACTGAACATACCGTTAATGCAATTAACCACCGCGCCGACAAGGCGTTTCCAAGCACATTTTCGTATTTTGGTGAGTTGTGCAGCCCGGCATAAGTATCCCCCCTCCCCTAACTCAGCTCCTTCCTGCGGCGTAGGTCATAGGGAGGGAGGAGAGAGGGCGTTGAGTGGGTTTAACACAGCCGAGACCTGTATTGACCAATAACATCAGCTCTTCTCGCCTTTGAATCCGCCACTAGCGAGGCGTATTACCAATTTCGTGAAGTAGTCAAAGAGATCAAGAGATGTCTGAAGACAGCAATGCCACACGATGGCGACAAAAGGCAGCTCCTCAACAAGTGTCACTGTAAGCGCTGCATTGGGCGTCCTCCGCACTGTCTCATATAAGCACAGATGGATTTGGTGTGTGTAATGTTGGACCCACTGGTAAGACAAACACCCTTTTCCACAAATAAAGACAATCACATTAAATTGCATATATTTAAACCTCACGTGACAAAGGTGGGTTGTGCGCAAAGGTCACAACATAAATTCCAATAATGGCATTAAAATCGGAACCAATCTGTGTGTAAATCGCGCTCCGTGGCCTGGCTCTTTCTTTCATAGATGTTGGCATATAAAATAAATTTGGCTCACAAAACTGATTATTATAATATTTGTAGGTAGGCTTAAAGTAAAAAACTCATCTGATCACTGGAACAAATCATCTGTTCAGCTGCCGCAGCAGCAGCTGCAGCAGGACGGGTAGAGGACACGGAGACATGTCCAGGTTGAGCTGCGTGAGAAATAAGAGGAAGAGGAAGCTAGAAATGGGGGCAGACAAATTAAATATCTTATTAACTTCATCATGTGTGTTTATTTACTAGATATTTGATTCAATTTCATGCGGATTCAGCAGCTGTGTTAATTTGGTCAGGTTGAGTGTCCAAACGCATGCCAAATGCGCTCATCAGATCAGATATAGATCAGAATATATCGATATAGATCTAAATGTATGTGCTGACACAGATTATTAGTTGTTTTTGATTATTTATTGCACGGAAATGTTCCTGACACTGTGGAAACCTGCTGGTGAGGCCGATATGCCGCCGGTCGCCCAAAATACCACTAGCCCATCTGGATCAACCTGCGCTGAAAGCTGACCAGGTTTGAATCTGCGAGCTTTCAGCGCACTTTGCACGCCGGCAACAAGTACGAAAATGTCACTGCACCAGCTGATTCTGTGGACATCTCACCCTGCCACACATCCACGCCCAGCTTGGCGGACCTCGGTGCACCTCAGTCCACGAAAATACCAAACTGGCTGTACGCTGAGCTCCGCCAGACAAAAATGCCACTGCGCGGGGTTCGCCACCCTCCGCCATGTCGCCGGTGGACACAAAAATAGAGCCCAAGGTCTGAGGGTCCAAGTTAACAATGTAAAAATAATAACCTTTTTCTTCTATCTGGTATCCCACCTACACTGGGGTTTAAAAGAGCAACATAGAACTTCTTGCGCACTCTATAAGAAGCCAGTGTGTAGATTTTAAGTAGTGAAAATTACATACTGCACCTTTAGGATTGTACATTAATCAATCAATCAATGAGATTAGGTGTGTGTGTGTGTGTGTGTGTGTGTTGGGAAAGTTTGACAGTTATAATTAAGCAGACAGCCTGCCCATGGTCTACTCTACAAAACAGAAGTATATGGTAAAATACATGCTATATATGTACTTTTATGTGCAGATAAGACCCTGGAATAACATTGTTATCCTTAACCATGTTCAAAAATAGCATAATGTCAGCACATTAAGAGGTTATAGGTGGATTTGTCAACTCCATCAGCTTAGAGTTGACGTCTGACGGAGTTGACATAAGGGCATGTATTTTCCCTCCAAAACATTTATTGTACAGTGCAGCTAGCTACTTTTTAGGCAGTTGCTAGCTGTCCTGATAATATCACCAAAATACTTTAATTGAACTCACTATAGTTTAAAAAAATGTATAATAATGGAGAGACGGTGTTGACATGGTCCAGCTGTGACCATACAAATATTGACATTGTTTGTCTAAAATATCAAAAACTGTAAAACCTACCACACCATGTGTGGTGGTGTTGCATTCACCAGAAGCAGGAAATGATAAGGGGTCCTCAGGGATATAGCTGACCATGATATTGCATGATTTAATGAGGTTTATAGAATAATCTGATGGAGTTGACAGAAACTGAGGACACAACTTTGATAGGCAGATTTTTAGGCAAAAAGCTATTTGATGTTCAGGCCATTCATTGTTAATATATTTATAGCCCTGAATTTTTATTTGATGTACACTCACCGGCCACCTTATTAGGTACACCTGTCCAACTGCTCGTTAACACTTAATTTCTAATCAGCCAATCACATGGCGGCAACTTAGTGCATTTAGGCATGTAGACATGGTCAAGACAATCTCCTGCAGTTCAAACCGAGCATCAGTATGGGGAAGAAAGGTGATTTGAGTGACTTTGAACGTGGCATGGTTGTTGGTGCCAGAAGGGCTGGTCTGAGTATTTCAGAAACTGCTGATCTACTGGGATTTTCACGCACAACCATCTCTAGGATTTACAGAGAATGGTCCGAAAAAGAAAAAATATCCAGTGAGCGGCAGTTCTGTGGGCGGAAATGCCTTGTTGATGCCAGAGGTCAGAGGAGAATGGCCAGACTGGTTCGAGCTGATAGAAAGGCAACAGTGACTCAAATAACCACCCGTTTCAACCAAGGTAGGCAGAAGAGCATCTCTGAACGCACAGTACGTCGAACTTTGAGGCAGATGGGCTACAGCAGCAGAAGACCACGCCGGGTGCCACTCCTTTCAGCTAAGAACAGGAAACTGAGGCTACAATTTGCACAAGCTCATTGAAATTGGACAATAGAAGATTGGAAAAACGTTGCCTGGTCTGATGAGTCTCGATTTCTGCTGCGACATTCGGATGGTAGGGTCAGAATTTGGCGTCAACAACATGAAAGCATGGATCCATCCTGCCTTGTATCAACGGTTCAGGCTGGTGGTGGTGGTGTCATGGTGTGGGGAATATTTTCTTGGCACTCTTTGGGCCCCTTGGTACCAATTGATCATCGTTGCAACGCCACAGCCTACCTGAGTATTGTTGCTGACCATGTCCATCCCTTTATGACCACAATGTACCCAACTTCTGATGGCTACTTTCAGCAGGATAATGCGCCATGTCATAAAGCTGGAATCATCTCAGACTGGTTTCTTGAACATGACAATGAGTTCACTGTACTCAAATGGCCTCCACAGTCACCAGATCTCAATCCAATAGAGCATCTTTGGGATGTGGTGGAACGGGAGATTCGCATCATGGATGTGCAGCCGACAAATCTGCGGCAACTGTGTGATGCCATCATGTCAATATGGACCAAGTTCTCTGAGGAATGCTTCCAGCACCTTGTTGAATCTATGCCACGAAGAATTGAGGCAGTTCTGAAGGCAAAAGGGGGTCCAACCCGTTACTAGCATGGTGTACCTAATAAAGTGGCCGGTGAGTGTATATGTTTTCACAGTTATAGAGTTTTTTAAAGTTTTTTGGGGCTGGTCAATATTGTGACCTCTTGCTGAGGACACAAGCAATAACATGGACCTTCTAACCACAGATGTTTCATTTAAACAAATATCCCCCAAAAAAGTAAATATCTGTGCTAAAAAATAGGATTGGTATACACAAATCCATTAGATTTAACTTTTGAGTATGTCAAACATTTAGAATTTCTTAATTGTTTTGAATAAATTAGACTTTTCTATGTAGGACATGTTTTGTCCCGACTCTCAAGAATGGGTGATTTACATTTTCTCCTAAAACTCAGTCTTCAAAATTAACTTTTTCACATAAACACTGTTTGTGTGTATAGAATCACCAGTTTAAGGGGCTGGTGTCTATGGACCTTTAAACTGAAGACCAAAAATAGACAAAGGGAAAAGGAACTATTCAATAGAGTCCATTCTGATGAAAAAGGACAAACTCCAGCTGAGGGAAAAAAAAAACATAAAACTGACTTTATTACCACAGAGAGGATGGATAAGGGGAGGGCCACACACTAAATACACTCACAATAAACAACCTCAAACATGCATAAAAACACATGGGAAACAAATAAGAGCAGGAAAACACACAGGAAGTTGAACAAGACATGACACGCACACAAGGGACAACGGTTACAAAACGAAATCGTAACCCAGCATGGAAAAATACAAAACACCAAAAAATACACACTGGTGACTTTGACTCTTAATACTTTGCTTGATTTTGAGTCAGTCTTGATAATGAATAATAAAAAAGTTCATGTTTTTCAATCTGTGGGTTGATCTAATTAATTGATATCTATCTTAGTCTGATGAGGTTGGTGGTTAGCTGATGAAAATTTGTTAAATCTGATGAAATGCACCAATCATTCTTGTCATGCAGACCGTTGAGGTTTAAACGGTGAGACTCAACAATGAGAAAAACAATGTATGATATCAAGGATAATGTTTCCAGGGGTTTTTAATAATATTGTTATGGACACCCTGCTGCAGCAGCTTGAGTAATAAAGAACACAAACCTGTTTGTCAGACAGCCTGCAGAAACTCATCAATCATCTATGAAATGACTTGTATTTTTATTTATTATTTATTTTTTTATGACACTGATTTTGTCCCTCCAGAAATTAAATCCTAGCAAGGCAGATTTTGACTTGCCTGAGAGCAAATCACAGATTCTTGGTAAATCTAGGGCTACGCAGAGCCATGGGGGTTCCTGCCAGTATGAGGTACTGTAGCCATTGCCTTGAGCCATCTGGTCCCATTAAAACCTAACTGAAAGCTGGGTCCTTATTCTTGGCACAAAGTCAAACACTTTAGTGGGTGGTGTTGGTCTCTGCCGGGGTTTTCCCTCGTCATGATTCTGTTTGTAATATTTGTAGACAGGATCTCAGGGCACAACCAGGGGGAAGGAAATTGGTTGTTTAGGGGACCTGAGAATAGCAACCCAGATTTTTGCAGAAGTTGTCTACTGGATTCATTAAACTGTGACCTCCAGCCAGCACAGTTTGCAGTCAAGTGTGAAATCAGAAGAAGAGTAACCTTGTCGAATTTGAGGCAATTATTCTCTTCTGGAAAAAAAGTGCAACCTTTGCTTTGGGATGGAAGGAAGTTACTGCCTAGAGTGAAGGAAATCCAGCAGCTCTGGGGTTTGGCTCAGAGTATAGGGTCAAAAAGTTCAAAAGATCAGCAGGCAGATTGGATCGATTTAAGCAGGAATAGACAGGCAAACTACTGAACCATAGTGGTGACATGGGTGCCAGACAGTAAAGCTTAGTCGTGATATGTGTTTGGACCAATACGCTCAGCTTTGCTCAGCCCCAAAAGAAGGAGAATGCAGATTCAAGCAGCCATAAGCAACCCCTGATGCTTGAATGAGCTCAGCATTTAAAACAGACTGACGAACAACTGGTAGGAGACCCTTGGGTAGATCCGGAAGAGGCTGGATGGATTACATATGTCATAATACTGGAACTCTCTTATCCTCCAGGATGAGCTGGAAACACTGTTGGGGAGGGAGATGTGTGGATGACATTGGCGACCAGTCTTTGCCACTCAGCTCTAGATAAAGAGGAGAAAAAAGATGGGTCGACGGACGGACAGACAGACAAACGGACTACGGCTTTGACTGACTTCATTATCAAAGCTAATGTACCCCGGCCTTCCATAATTTCAGTCAAATTTAAACAACTCAGTCAAGTGTCCTGATCCTCTTTTTTTTTCAACAGTTTTCATTGATTTCCAAAATGTTCATTGCCGGTTTCATTAAGAATCCAGCTCACCCACAGCAGGATGCCTCGCCCTGGACTGAGACAGTAACAGTAATCTGTTCATCAGTGGCCCCACCCACATCTACAAGCAGCAAGGATGTTCCGTACATTGCTGGTGACAAACTATGAAGGGGAGCACTCATTTCCATATTTGGGGAGAATCAAAAACATACTGAGTATGAGCAGGAACCAAAAACACCTACCTCTCTATTGTTATTGGCAATAGAGTCTGAGCTTGTCAGAGACCTGGGGCCTCATGTATCAATACTTGCGTGGAACTCATACCAGAAACGAGCAAACGCAAGGTCCGTCACGCTGAAAAAAATCCGTATGTATCAATGTGTGCGGGCGCCGAAATCCACGTGTGTTTCCTTGATAAATCCCAATCAGCGTGGAATTGAGCGCAGATGTCGGAGTGACTGGGCCCGTCCCCATTACGCCCTCCTATAAATATGCAGATTTATTTAAATAGGGTCTCCCTGTCCTCGCACGCAGACAAAATGACAAGAAAAACTAAATTTACGGCGTGCGAGGTGGAGGTGCTGGTGGCGGAGGTGGAGGAGCGACAGCGTGTTTTGTTTGGCAGCCTGTCCAGTGGCGTCAGTGCAAAACAAAAACGCTTGGAGTGGGAGAAAGTTTGCGAGAGGGTGAATGCGGTGGGTTCCGAGACACGCACCCCCGCGAAGATTAAAAAAAAGTGGTCGGACCTCAAGGTGGAGGTCAAGCGGCGTACAGCTGCCCTCCGGAGGACTACTGGCCAGACAGGTGGGGGTCCGGGGGAGGAGACCCTCACACCGTTTGAGCAGCGAGTGGTGGCGATTATTATTATAGGGTAAGTGGCGTGTCACACAAATGTCCACATGCTTTGCCATCCCACTGAGCAAAAGACGTATATTAGACGTCTAGTCTAAGTTTATACTTCATTTCAACGTCGGGATTCAGTCTATTTTTAGACGTGATTTATACTTCGCCCTTAACTTCATTTTTCGATAACTTTTTATGCAATAAACAACTGTAATGTGCATAACTGACCTCTAAATCCTGGATCACATTACCTATGATACCGTGGAGAGAGATGTAAACGCAACAGATACACAGAAGCAGGAATTGAAATGAACAAATATCTTTATTGTGTCACAGAAATCAATGTGTCGGCTGTGTCGCCGGCTAGCGGAACCCTGGTCCGCGGCAGCCCGTCCGCCGGCTCGGAGTCGTCGGCCAGGACCAGCGGCATTCGGGCCACCCCGGCCCCCGGCCCCAGCACCAGCACCAGCATCAGCACCAGCGCGCCGACAAGCGGTGGAGCGTCAACCAGCCGCGGCGCTTCCGCTGGACCACCCGGACGCAGTGGAAGGGTCCTCGCGGAGGGGGTCCTGCAATCGCAGGAAGAAATCATCAGGGGGATCGCGGGGATCAACGAGCGGCTGGACTGGCTCGTAAATTTCCTCGAGTGTCTGGTGGAGAAAATAAATTAATTTGGCTCATTGAACTGTGTATTCACTTCTTACCCATTCACACTGTGGCGATGAGATTCTCCCGCGCGAGGACGGCGGCCCGGCAGGGATCAGCTCGCATCCCTCTGTCTGCTGCTGGTTCATCATGTGGGGCGACGTGCTGCTCGGCCACGGGGATGTGGTGCACGCTTGTCACATAATGAGTCACCAAACACCGCCACACAGCGTCGCCAAAGTGGGAATCACAGTCAACGCAAATATCAGCTCAACGCCAATTTCTACACCACCTCCTGACTTTGCGTTGATTAGCGCTGGAACCGACGCTCGTTTCGCGATGATAAATCTGGACGTGTGCGCCGATTTTGGGGTACGCAAGGTTTTCTTGCGCCGCAAGCATTGATACATGAGGCCCCTGGACTTCAGCGATGTTATCTAGGAATATGCTCTACAACTACTAGGCCCACACTTGTGCCCTAGTCTGTTGTGTTTGTGCATGTACAAGTGTGTATGCCTGTGTGTGTGTGGGTGCACTCTAGATACTTCATCCAGCCTTGGATGCAAGAGGTCTGAACAAACTGGTGAAAAAGCTGGCTCTGTGGTTGGAATCAAGTTGGACTCACTGGAGGATGTGTTTGAGAGATGTAAACTAAGGACGGTGGAGTCTTTTCTAAAGAACAAGGATCACCCACTTCATGGCATCTTGATGAACCAAAGGGTCAGTGGTGGTGGACAGCTCCTCTTATTTTTGCGTCAGGACAGTGGGATTAAGAAGATCTTTTGTACCCACAGCAATCAGGCTGTTTAATTCCTCTGTAAATAGTAGATGGGATAAGATTCCAGACAAACAAATTTCCATTTGGGGATCAATAAAGTTCTTGTATTGTGTGGTATGGTGGCAGGTGGGCAGGTCCTGTATAGAGAAATGCAGACAGTATGCTGCTGGACGACTTTCATATCTCTGTTTACCTTAAATCCCTGCAACCCGAGGTAGCAAATGTTAACAGACAATGTTTTTTAGAAAAAGACCACACAGTAACACACATTAGCACTATGTATAGAATATGTCTATTTGGGATGTAGTTATCCTGTCCCTTGGAGAAAACCCCACCACCACTGCATCTACAAGGCCTTTGCATACAGGGTCTAGCTTTGTTCATCCAAAAATAGAAATATGATCTTATGTTGTGTCCGTCATATTCTCACTGACTCCAAACTTTTGTCTGTCTTTTTTAGACCAGGATTCATTGTCCTCCTCTATCAATTATTGATGGCAGTGGTCCTTTACACCAGTAGCCACCATAGACTCCATGAGACATGGATACATGGTTGTGGTCCTGGTTATGTCCTCCATTTGTTTGAGAAGCAGACTTTGAAGCCAACTGGTAGTGGTCTGTCTCA